GGCTCTTAAGGCGCCGTTGACAGGGGCGATAGGCAAGCCCGCCCGCACTTGTGCTTGCGGTACAGTATACCTACAGAAGTGCGCGGCGAGAATCAGCCACTATGAACAATACAGAAGGGAAGATACAATGACAGAGTTAAAACTTTTTTTTTCATTTTATTTTATTTCTATGTCAAGATAGAAACAGCGTGGCTATACACGCGCTGGAGGAATCGCAACCACCCTTTCGGGGAGTCTCTTGTGTTTGAATACAAGAGGATCTCGCATTGGCAGAAATGCTGGTCCGAGCCCCTTCACTGATTATGCAATCGGTGGGCGGGGACTGTGGTACTCCACTAACACTCCAGGGATACTAAAATACTCTTCAATAATGGATGGAACCATGCTTGTTTACCCAATGCCGTTTTATCTGGCAAGTGAGTTCTATTTTACTTAACCTACTGATCTCGTTATTACCAGCGCCGTGAGTATCTGGCGACTGGTGTTAAGAGTCATTACCCTATATTTACACAGTGACGTATTAAATTACGCCTGTTAACCCTATGCCGTTAGTGTCTGGCAATGGGGTCCTTACAAGTATATCTAACGTACTTATCTCTAAAACCCCAGCGCCGTTAGAGTCTGGCGACTGGGGAAGAAAGTCATTTCATGCTTGTTTACACAATGCCGTTAGTGTCTGGCAAGTGAGTTTTATTTAACTTAATCTTCTAGTCTGGCAACTTGGGGTCTTTTCATTTTTATTTACTTAACCCACATAACGGATAATTTCATCGTAGACCTCGTTGACAGTGTACTGGATAGAATCACTACCTACTCTCATGGTTCCTTGTAATGCAGTCTGTTCAATTAGCACTTTTAAATCACCACGGCTTCTAACACGTGATACACCAACGTAAAGCTGGCCATGAGAAAAGCTGGGGGTGGCCAGATATATTCCTGCTCGTCTTAATGTACCACCCTGAGACCGATTTATGGTCATGGCCATACATAACCGAACTGGAAATTGTTTCCTACATAAGAGACTATCAAACCGGAACTCATCTGTTGCTAAAGTAACCCTCGGAATGATAACAACTTCATTTGCAAGGTCACCCTCTAAACCTCTGCAGAAGAGTGCATTGTTTCCGAGGCCCTGAACTATTAATTTCGTACCATTGCAGAGGCCATCCTCAAAATTCATATTTCTCATCAACATGACCACAGACCCTACTCTTAGCCGCAAGCGATGAAACGGTAGAGATGCTGGATTCAATGTCTCAAGATATTCTTTTGTCAGACCTTGGTCCTCAAAATTCTGAATTGCAGTTCCTTGTTGTTTGATATATGTGTCTGACAAATAAACTCGTTCTTCACCATTGATTCTATCCAGCACGATGTCATTAATTTCATTTACTGTATCGTTTCTAGGGCATAGTATTGCAGCATCGCCTTTCAAAGGGAGAGAAAAATCCCCAAATACATGCTGAATTAAATCCTCTCTTGACTCAACAGTTAAGTCATTCGGGATTTCAACCCTTGTGCTGCCCGGAATATTTGCAGAACCATTGCCAACACTAACCATCCAATCGGCAAATTCCTGATCGTCAGAATTTAATCTCATGTTTTTGTCAAGCTTAAGTGTCTTGAACTCTTGCCACAAGGGGCTAGAGGGGACGCAGGCCTCAACAATGTCCTTGCGTCCCTTTCCTGGGAGAACGGGTAAGCACTGACAGAAATCACCACTGACGACCAAAACTTTACCACCGAACGGTTCATTGCTGTTCATTATCTCTTTCAGTAGCATGTTGACGGTTTCCAGTTGTACTGCAGTTGCCATAGATATTTCATCCCAAATAATTAATTTGGAATCACGAAGGCGTTGGGCTTGCGGTGACTGCAGCTGGATGCTACTGCTCACAGTTCCTAACAGCTGCTGGTCAGAATCCTTAACGGACAGGCCAAACACTTTGTGGCTTGTTTTACCAGATCTAAGGAGCTTTGCAGCCACCCCAGTGAAAGCAGAGACCTGGACTGCAATGTTTTCTACCTCACACGTAAGAATAACAGCGTTAAGAAGGTAGGTCTTGCCACAACCACCTCTACCCTTTAGGTAGAAGAGATTTCCAAACTGGCGGTTTCCTCGCACTGCAGTCATGATTGTGTTAAAAGCAGTTAACTGCTGAGGGTTAGTGCCAATTTTTTCTGTCATGTCTGCTAGGCTCTCTGCCTTGTCGGCCAGGGAAATTTCCTCCACCATACCTGTAACCAGACAGTGGAGGCGGATGTCGTCCTCTGTCATAGATGGTGATGGCAGACCAAACGTGTCAAGTGTAACGTTGTGTTGCATGAGGATACTTTGGATGTGGTGCAGTGCCATTTCTGTAAATAACTGGGTATTGTTCTCGTCAGCAGTCATTCTGTGTTTGTATTTAAAATCGTCTATCATGTTGTCTCTATATTTTGTCCACAAGGAAATGGCATCATGAGGCCTCATAAATACAAGGATGAGTGCAAATGTTTTCCTAATACTTTTACCGTTAAACAACTCGCATATTTCATTCATGCAGCGCTCTGCTTCTCTGTCATCAATAAGAAGTCCTAACGCGATGCAGGCTTCCTTATATGATGCATAAACAATATTATTAACTGTGCGAATATGCTCGAAGCTCCTGGGTCCAGGAATGTTCAGCAGAAGAGACCTAAGGTAGTACTCATTCTCATGTTTTGCGGAGAGGGGAATAATACACAAACGGGCAATGCAACTCTCCCGTTTTTCCTTGTTGCGACCTAATTTTCTCTCCTTCCAATATTTTTCTTTCTCATGCCAACTATGCGTTTCTACTACTTCCACGTACATTTTGTGTCGGTACTTGTCTGAGTTTTCATTAAGTTTGAAGTACTCAGTGAGCATGGTTTTCTCGCCATTTTCAAGAGCACGTGCCATACCCCCTTCTTCCCACAGAATAGTTTGTTCACCTTCGTCGTGAACAGGTAGGGTAGTGACACTATGAGATTTGTAAATTTCTGGCACACCCATAATTGACGTTACGGCTTCCATTGAACCCAGAAACCTCATTTTTTTATAGAACTGAATTTCGTCCCACTCAACAAACTGCCCATCTTTTTTCAAATTCTCCTCTGCTATTGAGGTATAAACTTGGTCCCCGGACTTATTCATGTACAGACTTATATATTTGTTGCTCTGAGCATCGCCAGAGCATAGCTCAGCATTCGTATTTGTCCCCAATTCTAGTGTAAGGAACGGGCTGAATGCTACTACCTGCCTATTGTCAAAGATTTCTCCTGTCGACGGATTTTTGTAAGTGATACCAGTGTCACGCCTCCTATAATTAACACGACGGCCATCCATAGTCGTTTCATCGCAAAAGTCTTTAGGAAATCTGGACTTGCAATGCTTACCGTCTAACCTGCAAAACACTTCTTCGTTCCTTCTATTTTTCTCATGACACAAATGATGCAAATTTAACTTTGTCACAAGTTCGTATAGCTCTGGTTCCTTTTCTTTGTCGGGGATCTCAGCTCTTATAAGGAGATCAACTTCCCGACCACATTGAGGCATGTCATCGGGATGAACTGTTAGAATTACGTGGCAGTGTGGGAGACCGCGTTTTTGATACTCAATTACACACGCATATGCTAAAGCCCTACCAAAACATTGTTTTTGAACGAGGAGATGCATAAGGATCGCCATTTTTTGCAAAAAGACCCTGACTACAACCTGTGGTTTGAAACACCACTTGACATCAGGGAGATCGTCCTGAATTTCCTGCCAGTGTGGGTTTGCCGTCATAGTAATGAAGTATGACGGACACTTGAATTTTGTAGTGATTGCCATGACGTCGAGAAACCGATTCCTGCGGTTTCTTTCAGTATGTGCAACTCTGGATGGCAAAAGGGCAACCCTACCTAACTTTTTGTTTGCACCATTTGCGAGCTCGTTTACAAAGTTAATGACGGTTTTGTACGTCTCCATATAAATCTTTTGCAGTTCTGGGCGTGAGTGATAATCCACGTCATTGTACTCACATCTAATAGCTGCAGTGATAAGATACTGCAGGAAAAGCCTTTCACTAAGAAAAAGTGGATTCCACTCCTCATTTCTCAATTGAATCCTATACTTGTAATATTCGCGCAACGTTGAGAGCTTTGGGAACTCCACATCGGGATCTCCCGTTACACACCATGAAAACTCACCATGCAGGTGAAGAAGTGGAAACATTAACATGTCAAGGCTTGCTTTGTCACCCCGATTTAAAATGTCCGATGCGTCACCGTTTCGCTGAGGGCGAATAAAGTACCTGACATCATAATGAACACCTTGCTTTAGCTCGTCGTAGAAGACGGCTCCCATGTATTCATTAGTGGGCATATCAAAATTGGGGTCCAGAGTATAATTCCTATAATAGTTCCACATACCTCTATAACTTGTCTTACCAGAAGGCCTTGGATTTATAGCTAATATTACATCACGCACTGATCTATTCTCAGCGGCAGCCTTCTGTTTTTCCTCCTTAACCTTTTCACCCGCCGTTACAAATGTCCGAATAAGTTTATTTTCTCTGCGAAGAAAATGCTCAAATTCAAGGATAGTGGCTTCATTCAATCTATCACTACGTGTAGAACAAGCTAATCTTGCTGCAGCCACGTCACCTGACATCTCTACAAAATACAACTCTCCAGGTTTCGCAGCATTCTGCTCGTCACCTCTCAAGTATGAATTGGCAACAAAACGCAACTGCCCATTCACTATCATTGACTCATAACCACGAGTATTGATACTGCGAAGGTTGCCTTCGGCGCATGCCATAGAAAAAACACGATTGTAGGATACAAGGGCTGCGCGGAAAGCTTTGCTCTGCGTGTCGTCACTAACATACTTTGCTTTAATAGCGGGTGCAGGTTCTTTAAATGTTGCACCAGCTGGAAGACGCACTTTACCAAAGTCACAACACATTGCACTAACTTTGTTTTTCTGTCGTATTTCCGTCTTTCGGAAAAGAGCTTTGCAATTTGGACATTCAACATCAAGTGGGGGCAATGTCACGAGAGAAAAATCACTGCTTTTTTCACCGTAAAATAACCACGCACATTTGTGCCACTTTGATATCACACCGCTTTCTTTGACAGCCATACTTGGTTTTACTTTGTAATGTGTGTCAGGCAGGTATCTACGCTTCCCCCTCATTATCCTTTCATGCTCGGGAATGTCAGAGTTGGAGTCGGTAACGGTTGGCGCCTGCGGCTGCCTTTCAGGTACATCACCTACATCCATAATTTCTACTCCACTCTGTGCATCATGAGCAGATTGGAAACAAGATGGGGTCAAAATACCGACGGTGCCGTTAGGGTCTGGCAACTCGTCAGCTATACCATCAGATTCGTTATTGGGTGGTGTAGGATGACCAACGGTGCCGTGAGTGTCTGGCAACCCGTTGTCTTCATCATCAGAAAGAAAACAGGGTGGGGTCAAAATACCGACGGTGCCGTTAGGGTCTGGCAACTCGTCAGCTATATCATCAGATTCGCAACTGGGTGGTGTTAAATTACCAACGGTGCCGTTAGTGTCTGGCAACCCGTTAGCTTCAACACCAGAATAAAGGAAAAAGGGTTGTACGGTTCACTCTGGGTCGCAAACAGATCATCGTCATCATCACACCTCATTTCTACTTCCTTATAATACATCCAATTGTTATTTTCATAGCATAGACGGACAACGCGAGGAAATCTAGCACCTGTGGTAAACCAGATACAAACACCCCTATAGACTACAATTTTCACTTTGTAGAACTCTGATGCTAAACTTACTTCATTTTCAGAAATCACCCGACCTGATAGAAGTTCTACAAGTAAGCTGCTCTTTTTCCCCTCCTCCTCTATCTTAAAGAGCCGCTCCCTTTCATCGCTCTTCTGACTAAGTTGAAGATTTGCAATTGCCGATTCTATATGGGGAATGTCCTGACTTCGATCCATCCGGTACACAGAAACACAATTCTTAATAACATTGTGTGCAAAGGACTCACGGTTATGAAAAATGAACGCAAGTATCTGGTACAAACTGGTGTTCTGACAGTTAACACTCACAACACTGACAGGTAACAGCTCGTCATTTTCCGACAACACTAACATAGGCGATGACTCGCCACACATAGGGAGGCCAAAATCATCAAAAACCATATACTCCCAATGCCCACCACTGTCAGTTCTTTCCCCAAAAGAGTTTATACCAGGCACGTGGTTCAGGAACACTAATGGGTGTTTAGGATCTCCATAGGAAAATGGAGCTATTTTCTTGTTCTCTACAACAACAATGCACTTCTTGTAAACAATGGCTGCTATTTGACACTCGCACTCTGTCCCCCACCCACTAAACAACATATCAGCGGCGTAACTTTCTATGCTATCATAGATATTGCCCTGAGCATCGTGTGTGAACGGTGCTACTTTAAACCAGTTTGTTGCAGCATAGTTAACAACAGCCCTACGAATCTCTTTGATTCGCGATTGGTTTCCCCACAATGCCTGTGATACTGATGCAAAGAAGCAATCGCCCCGGCCATGGTTGTTCATGACACTGAATCCACGATGGCACCCTCCAATTTCAACCAATTGAAACGAGTTAACCTCCATGTTGGAAAAAAGGTTCAATTTACTCACCGGTTCTGCGGATGTAATCCAAGTGTTGTGGTGGTCGAAGATATCCAATGAAGCACGGCGAAAGGTTATCCAAAAGCACTACACAGATTCACTGAGATCACTTCACTTTCACACCAACACTTCACCACAAACTGAATATTTAGCGAATTCGCGATTTACACACTTGCAACACGATCGCGTATGCTAAAAGCCCGAAATAATGTTGCGCAGCGTGAAACGAGCGGTTTGAGATGCTCTCCGACCGTACGTTCTTCAGTACAAGACAAGCTCGACTGGAAAGAATGGAGGGAGTGGTCGGCTTTTATATGACGGAAATGCTGCGCTGTGATTGGCTAAGAACTTTGGAGC